CAAAACATTTTTCCTGGAAGGAAACGCTGTAAAACACGAGCTTGTTATGTTTGTCACATTTCAACAATAGATGACTCATTCTCTCACCAGGTCCCACTTGTGTCCAGCCTGCTAATTTGTGCTGCTCTTGGTAGATCATGCCGACATCATTATTGAAATGAACCGGCTGTGCCTGTTCGAATAACTTTACACTCTCGTTGGTGCGTTGTTCAGTTGCAGGTTGTCGATCAGTTGCCCTGCTTTGTAAATCTGACCCAGAAGCTAGTTTTCGTAAAGAGCATGTGTATCTGGCTCCTGGACACACCTTTTCCCTCTGTTCTGTCCTCTCATCCAATCAGGCTTCAGAAGGAGGGGTCTGATGATAGCACGCCTTCATCTGAGCGTCTCGGTGTGCACGTGAAGGGTGAGGAGGAGTGCGGAAGCGTGCATATCAAAGGGGAGAGCACCGAGAGTGAGCTGGAAGAAGAGGAAGAGGATGAAGATATCATTCAGTTGAGGGAGGGCGACGAAGAGGAGCGAGGGAGTTACAGTCAGGTTTGTGTGTGAATACAGTGCAGCTTTGCATCATTGATAATCAGCTCGGTTCATGTAAATGGGTGTGGTCAGCTAGTGAGTGCATGGTGTCCAACAGGAGCTCCTTCAAAGCCCACGGTCTGTCTTAAAACTCAGGACTTGTTGGTTCCACAGCGTCATCCCACAGAGGGATGAGTCACACAAATGCATCACTGACCGCCTTCCTGCTGTTTTGTATCTCGCTGCGTTTGCTCTGTTACAGCGGTTGCTTTGCGTTAGTGATCTGACTCATCCCAGCTAATGGTCGGCCTCTTACTTCAGTCTAAAGCTGAGGTGGCTTCAGGTGTTTTTCACCCACGCACAACTGTTTTCACACAATCCTGAGCTGCAGTACATTTACGTATCACTTCAGAGTATTCCTTTTGGGCTGAGCTCATTGCGTAACGTGTCTTATCTGCTCTCAGGAAAAAGAACACACATTGAATCCACAATTTGACAAACGCGTGTTTTTCTCGTCTTAGACGAGGCAAAGTGTTCTTGAAGAGCCAACTTACACAATGTGATGCTCAGACCACTTGGCAGTGTGCAGGGTGGTGACGTCTAACTGTGTGAGCACCACACTGTTCAAAGACTCTGACTGAACGTAAGGATCACTTTGCTCAAAGTGGATCAGTGATGCTAACTACAAGAATTCTTTCCTATTTAGTCTGCCATCTGGTATTCTAAATATGTCGTTCCACAATCAGACTCTGATGCCAACATTTGGTATCAACAGTTGAATTGGCCAAAAACAGAAGGATGAGCTGAGCAACACCAAAAGACCACGGAGACTACACATGGCAGATAAAGGTGATAATCACAGTTGAGCGGTTTCCCTGGTAAACAAAAGTCCTACATGACATTGAGTGAAGTTGAGAACATTTAAATCTACAATTAGTGAATGTAAGTAGAGTTTAACCTCAGAGTGAGTGGCTGCAGTGACGAGCACAAACAGCCAGATTAGAACAGCCTTACAAATGTGAAACATGATAAGAGCATGAACAGGGACAAGAAAGCATCATTATTCATATATCTGATCGCCTCTCCAACATAGTAGAGACGCCATTAAGGACTTACCTTTCATATCTAAGAAGTAAACCAGGGGTCCCCAATCCCAGTCCACGAGGGCCGGTGTCCCTGCAGGTTTTAGATCTCACCTTGGGTCAACACACCTGAATCACATGATTAGTTCATT